GGCACACAACTTCTTTATCGTTGATGCTTTCTAGGTCCTCATCCTGGGTATGTAAGTGTGCTGTACACATGAGGAGGTGGTCAGCAGTCTGTGGTGCATCACCACACTCGCATATTGGACTGTCCTTTAAGCCAATCTTATAGAGTGTGGCATTAAAGCATCCAGCTGCAGAGCAATTCCTGTTTAGTGTAATCCAGTGGTTCCCAAACTCTGACACATGGTGCATTGTCAATGTAAAACAATACAACCTTGAGTACCACTAGCAAATTTTTGTCATATAAAGTAATTATTATAAATCTGTTAATGTGTACCACTGACAGGTTGTCTGTTTACCACTGGTGGTACGCATACCACAGATTGGCAACTGCTGTAATCCGTAAATTGTGGGGGAGCTCGTACCCAGGTGGATAGGGTGTTGCGTTGCTTATGAACCGCTTGAGATAAAAATCAGTCTCATCCCGCTTTTGTGGTGGTGTTCAAGTGCTCATAGGGTGCTGCTCCTACCTCACACTGTTGCACCAGAAGAAAAGAAGAAGACCCCCTATCCCTCCTCCTCCAATCCCTGAGATTGATCTGGGCACGGTCACAGGTTTCAAACTGGTCCTTGCAAACTATGCTTCCTGATCCCTCTCTTCTTCATCACCATCCCGGCTCTCAGATAGCTGATTTAATCTCTCTGCTTGATCAGAAAGTTGTTTCAAGAGCTCCAAACTCAGAATATGGAAAGCCTTACTTAAAAGGTAGTGGTCTAATAATAGTGATAAATTTTGCTATATACTGAAGTGACCTGAAGAAGGACATTTGATGCTCCAAAAGTAGTCCAGCTTCTCTCCCAACTATACGGTTAATCCAATAAAAGATATCACTACAAATCTTTGCCTGTTATACATGTCCTGGACCACCACAGTGACAACACTTTAACCCTGCTATAGGCTGGTGCACAGAGACATCAGTAAAATTGGGCAAAGTCACAGCAGTACTAGCAGTTATCAACATTATGTAGTTAGTAACAGCATTATTAGTAGGGGAGCTCCTCAAATTTCTGAGTTGGAGGAGAGGCTGATATTCCTAGTTGGGAGAGTGTTGAAATACTGGGCTATGCTGATCTTATAACAATATTTCTGTTTTTTTCAGATAAATGGGCATGATTTTTCTTTTGGTGTAAAACGGTTCCATGTCTTGTTTGGTAAGTTTAAATTTAATATTGCTTATTTTCTGCCATATGTATTTAACAGTTTCACTTTATTATCCAGTCAGGTATCTAAATATTAAGTAAAGATTTTGGTGAAGTTCCTTGCTATTTGACATGGAAAAACTCAGCTTCTGGAACCCCAACAGTAAACCACTATTTAAATCTTTAATGGTGAAGGAGTGTACTGTTCCAGCATCCCAGAATAGTACAGAGAAAGGTCTGGCCTGTTTGTCATTAGTTACTGCTGTTAAAGTAGGGCATACTAAATTAGGAAGGAAGAAAATCCCTCAAATGGCTTAGGGTTTTTCTCTGTTCACCAGGAAAGGTATACCCTGGGAAAAGAGAACATGGTGTGGAAGAGAGAAGCCACCTCTGGGCCTGAAAATGCTAGTGTTCCCTGCCAATGGCCTGAACAGGCAAATATTATGCTCATATTTTATTTTTATATTATAATATAATTAGCAATCATTTAATTATTAATATAATTATAGTGCTTATATTCTGATATTTGTACTATATTTCTATTAATTTTTGGAATGGGGTACTGTTAAATGCTTAAAAGTTATAGAGAGGTGCCTTGAGTCTAAAAGGCCGTGAACCATTGGTCTGGATGATGAAGTGATAAGCGAGGACTTAAATCATTATTTCTTGGGTTCATTTCAGGTTCAGATGCACTTAGTCGGTTCAGGTTCAGTTCTGATTCAAGCCACCAAAAAAACAAACAGTATCTCAGTTACCATTTTGAACTGGTTTACATAAAATTTGTTTCATGCTTGTGTGTGACTCAGATTCCCTGGTTTGACCATAAGAAAAGACACTATGTTCTTAGAGATTGTTTGGTGAGGTTGCCAGATAGAATGTGGTTTTGGATAATATATTGTTAGTACTACGTATAGATCATTGACCCCATTTATTAATATGTATTTCAAGGATTGTTCCTGTATTCTGCGTACGAGAGTTGAATCAGTCAGACCAGAGAAACAGTCTGAAAGCAACATCCATCAGTATTTGGTAAGAATAAATCCAAATCTGTTAAGATTTAACTACTAAAATTAAGTGCAAAATGATGATTGAGAGAAAGTCCTGTGAAATAAGGGCTTGGCAAAGATTAAGGCTTCTGCTTCAACATTAATTAGTGAAGTTGAGTGTAGCGTGGGCTGGATTTTCTATTTGCATTTTTCTCAGAAAGTATAAACTCTTAAGGGTGCCTATACATATGCTCCAACGTGTTAATTGAGTGTGTTGGAGTATTCTAATTAGAACACTCCAGTGTGCTGCAGCATCTCATGTATTCAGCATCCCATGTTTCAAAATGCCAGGGGGAGGGAGGGCAGATGGCAGGCTTTAACTAAAGCTTGTTGAATGAGATTTAGTTGAAGCGCTCCTGCCATTTTGAAATGTGGGACTCTGAATACACAAGACTCTGAGGTGTTTTAATTAGAGCAGTTCCTGAGAGCCGCTTTAATTAAAAGCCCCCCCACCCAACACACCCCAGAGCACATGTATAGACACCCTAATGTATTATCCTTAAATCTATACTAGAACAATTCTGGATGGATAATGAGGACAGGTTCAACTCTGTGATAGAAACTTTAATTTGACTTCTTTGATTTTTTAGTTTAATCTTTATTAATATTGCATTAACATTAGTTTATTAATCCATTTTTAGAAATACAAATGTGTGCAAGGTGATGCACCTGGGGAGGAACAACTGGCACCATACCTACAGGTTAGGGAACTCCCCTCTTGTCAGCACGGAGGCGGAAAAAGATCTTGGAGTCATCATTGACTCCAAGATGAACATGGGGAGGCAGTTAGGAAGGCCAACCGTACCTTGTCATGCATCCACAGATGCATCTCGAGCAGGTCCAGAGAGGTGATCCTCCCCCTTTATGCGGCACTGGTCAGGCCACAGTTGGAGTACTGCGTCCAGTTCTGGGCGCCGCACTTCAAGAGGGATGTGGACAGCATGGAGAGGGTCCAGAGGAGGCCACTCA